TGGGGCACTTGGCCACTGAGCCACATCCCCAGCTCTATTTTTTTTTTTTGTATTTTATTTAGAGACAGGGTCTCACTGAGTTTCTTAGCACCTTGCTTTTGCTGAGGCTTGCACTGAACTTGCTGTCCTCCTGCCTCAGCCTTCCCAGGTGCTGGGATTACAGGTGTGTACCCTTGATCACTGCCTTGTTTTTAACTTATGATACTTTCAATTTACCATGAGTTTATAAAGGAATAATCCCTCAGAAATCAGGGAACATCTATATTGAACATTGACATTGGTTTGGCTCTGTTTTGTGGTACTTGGGGCAAGTATTTGTGTTTGAGTCTTTATTTGCTTAATGGTGATGCCCCTTCTTTCTCACAGGGTTACTGTGAAGATTGAATGGATCACGGGTGGGAAAGTGCTTTGAAACATTCTGAACACCAAATGGATGGGAGCTGGCATGCCTCATATATCTGTGTTAGCATAATAGCATCTTTGGGCTGCAAGCCTAAAGATATTTCAAATAAGATAGTGTGATATGGTCAGGAACTTGGTTTTTGCAGTCAGAGAGACAGACATAGGGTTGAAATTACAGTTGTACCACATCTCGACTGGGTGATGTTAGGCAAGTTACTTAGTCTCTCTAGCGCTTCATTTCCCCATGTGCAAAATTAGGATTATAATGGTAACTCATGTCATGGCGTCATTATGGAGATTAAGAGACTTAATTCGGTGCTCTGCAACTAGAAAACAAATATTATAATTTTTTCATCATGGATTATTGTGAGGATTAAATGAAAAAGCACTCAATAAACATTAGCTATTTTTATGATTATGATGATGATGATGGGGAGGAGGAGGAGGATCAGGAAGAGATAGATAGATGGGGTTGCTTCCTGGATATGTAGTATTGACGTAACTATTTATGTGATTTGACACAGTCCATGCCTAGACAATTTGCATGCATCTGCAGCAGCACTGCTTCCATTATCCTGAGTTCCTCTGAATATTCTGAGGGTGTGCTCTGTTATGCTAATTACCAGCTTGAAATTCTGGAAAGGAAATTGATGGTGGTGGTAGAGGGAGGGAAATGGTGAGGTAGAGGAGGTATAGTTGGTTGGAGAAGTACATACTATTATGCTCCTCATTGTAGTCAGATCCTATAAATAATGCTAACAAATTCCAGAAAGAATAACTGGATTATTATGCAAGATGCATTTTAGAGGATGGAAGACAATTTGGTAGATAAAGGAGAGAATTTTTCATTGAGAAAGATAAGCAAGTCAGGATTGCAGAAAGGATGGCTTTTTCAAGGGTGGGGGTGCTGTCTGACAAGCTGAGGTATGCCACAGTCTGGCTGGGCACAAAATAACCGAGCCATCATGAGGCACTTGTAGGTTTAAACAGGAACTCCTTTATTGCCTAAACTCCACCAGCACCCCACACACCCTCCACCAGGTGCACACTCTCTCAAGAATGCAACCGGAACTCCAAAGTAGCGGGCACCTGAGGCAGCAGGAGCCACCCTATTGCCGGACAGCAAAGGTCTATATACAACTGAATACACAGCTTAACTTAACCAATATCATCTCAATGGCTCATTGGCATCACCTCTCAACCACTCCCTCTGGCAAAATGCCAGGTGCCACCCCGACTTGGCTGTGGCCCTCAACAGAGGTATCTCAGGATTTTTTTTTAAACTGAGATGAAAGATTGCATAAGTATGATTTTGACTAAAAGCAAAAAACTTGCTCAGAGTTTTACTTGAGCTTTTTCAGAAGCCCAGAGAAATCAATGCACTACAGCTCCCGTGTGTTTAATACAGCACAGGAACAGTATGTCTTCCACTGCCTCATCCACCCAGCCATCTTGCAAACTCCTACACCTTTCCTGTCTACCCAGACATATTCTCTTTCTCTCTGGTGGAGAAAGAAAGGGCTCTCAATGCTAGAAGCGCTTTTTTAAGAATTTATTTTCCAGGCTGAAGATGTGGCTCAGTGATAGAACACTTGCCTAGCACACAAAAGGTCCTGGGTTTGAGAAAAAAAAAATTGTCTGACTGTTATTATTTTTGCAGTACTTATACTCAAAAGCACTTTACCACTGAGCTACATCACCAGCTCTTTTTATTTTTTAGTTTGAGATAGGGTCTCACCAAGTATGAGGGTCCTGCTAAGTTGCTGAGGCTGGCCTTGAACTTCTGATCCTTTTGCCTCAGCCTCCTGAGTCACTGGGATTACATGTGGGCAGAACTACTCCAAACATAGCCAGTTCAATTAAGTCACCAATGTTCACTGAGAACCTGGAACTCTGTGTCAGGTACTTGGAACATAGGCACAACTCCAGTGGCCAGAATATCATTCTTTTTCTTTCTTTCTCTCCTTTCTTTTTTTTCTTTCTTTTTTTCCCAGAATATCATTCTTAAAGCAAACACCTAACAAATAATGACAAAAATCAGACTCCTGTCTTCCATGATAAAGTCCTCAGGGCCTGACAAGAACTATAAGGAAGTAATGATGAAAACAGGAAAGTAAACTTACATGGTTCATGTAGCTGAAGGGAGAATCAAATTAGTTGGAATCCTGAGGGAGTAGTTCTTTTTGCTGAGTATCAAGACCAGTGGGGCTTTGGTAGGTTGATTCTTTTAATAATTTTTTTTACCTTTATTTTGTTTATTTTTATGTGGTGCTGGGGATTAAACCCAGGGTCTCACACATGCTAGCCAAGTGCTCTACAACTGAGCTACAACCGCAGCTCACTTGCTTTTTTTATAGCTTTATTTTGTTTGCTTATTTTTTATGTGGTACTGAAGATCATATCCAGTGCCTCACATGTGCTAGGCAAGTGCTCTACCACTGAGCCACACCCCAGCCCCCCCCCCAGTCAGCTTTAAATAATGACTTTCTGAGTACTTTTCTATGTACCAGGCATTTTGTATTTACTCATTCCTTTAATTACTCATCCTCATGATGAATCCCTGCAGTCCTACAGATGAAGAAACTAAGTGGTGGGAGCCAGGTCTGGAACATACCACTGATGTTCTAATCCAGAGGTTATCGAACTTTAGCTGTTGTAAATGAAGTTTGGGACTAGAACCACACTTATTTGTTTATATGTTACCTATGGCTGCTTTTATACTACAGTGGCAGAGTAGTGTATCTTATGGCCTAAAACATCTAAAATATTTGTTATCTGGTCTGTCACTAAAAATGTTTTCTGATACTTGCTCTATCCACCATCCTCCACACTATGTAGACTTAGGAGCTAGACAGACATGAGGTCAAAGTCTGGCTTTGCCACTTGTTGACAGTGTGTTTCTTGGATAAGTCCTTTTATAGCTCTTTACCTCAGTTTCTTCATGTGTAAAACGGGAATACAAATATTGCCTCTCTCCTAGGGTTGACAGGATTAAATAAAATACTATCCAGGAAAAGTTCTTAGCACTGTGCATGGTTGACTGACACATAGAAAATTTAACAAATGATAGTAAGATTTTTGGAGTAACAATGACAATAGACAGAATCTTCAATTAAATACCAATAATCTGTATTTGTCTTTTTCTTATTCTTGCTCACTTCTCTAGGGCTTTGGGTTGCTAAAGAAAAGATAGAAATTTAACCTGGGCACTATGGTGCATGCCCGTAATGCCAGCAGCTTGGGAGGCTGAGGCAGGAGGATCACAGGTTCAAAGCCAGCCTTGGCATCTTAGTGAGGCTCTAGGCAACTCAATGAGACCCTGTCTCTAAATAAAAAGGGCAGGGACTGGTGCTGCTGAGGATGTGGCTCTGCAGGTAAGCACCCCTGGGTTCAACACCTGGTACCAAAAAAAAAAAAAAAGACAGAAGTTAGGTTTAGAGTTGGATATAGAGGTAGGCGAATTAGCAGCACAGGAAAGTGAAGTAGGTGGTCTTGGCCTGGAGGGGGAGTAACAGCGGGGGATTCACTGTGAAAGAAGCTAATGAATGCTTTAAGTCTGAACCATATCACCTGACCACAATGAGGGATTGGGGGAGAGAAAGAATCCCCAGCTGTCAGTTCAGAATTTAAAAAAAAAATCTTCAAAATCCCTCTCCTTGAGTTGTATTTGAATGAACTCTGATTACACTCTGAAAAATGCAAAGTTTTCCTGAAGTTTCCAGTGTATGCTGACCTCCCCATTCTCCAAGTTCCTGTAGCAATTATTTAAAAAAAAATAACTCTGGGATCTTTGTTCTTTGCTGTACTTAGTTGGTCTCTCTGATTAGACTTTAAATTTCTTTAGGGCAAAGACCAGAGCATATAACTCTCAGGTTTAGGAAGAAGGAGGGTGTTGTTGTTTTGAAACAGTCCAGGGGGTCTTGGGTGTAACTCAGCAAAGGCCCTGGGTTTGATCTCTAGCACCAAAATAAAGAAATATACAAACAAACAATGAAGGGCTGTGTATTTATTTGTGGGATGTGTGTGTGTCTCTCTGTGTGTTTCTTACTCTGGAGGTACCTAAAATGAAAGGAGAATTAGTTTCAGAAGCAAGGTCTTTGGAAGATAAATGAAATGTTTCAATGTCCTATAAAGCTACAGAAAGAAAGAAAAAAAACTAGAAAAAATGAATGTGGCAGAGAATTAAAAAAAAGGGGGGGGGAAGGGTCCAAGCTGAGGGAGCCTTCTTTTAGAAGTGAGTACATCTTAATTACCTGGAGAGAAGAAAAAGTTTTCTACAGGGTGGTGAAAATTCCCACCAGTAGAAAGGCAAGCCTTTGGTGACAGCTCTGCTATTCTGGCAGCCACATTTTTGCAGTGTTCTGTGAAGGTCAGCCTTTACATCCCAAGGTGAGTTACTTCATAAACAAATCACAACTTGCTAGTGTTGCAGAGGCTAGGAGAGTTTTGCTGAGGGAGGAAGGGATGAGCTCTTTTTCTATTCTCAGGGAAAGTACTTGCCTTCTCCATTATCTGGATTTGGAGTCTCCTCCCCCCAGCTCCTTATTCAAATGGGATACATACTTCCTGCCACTGGCAGAAACATCTCCAAGGCAAATTCTTTGCTTCCTGGCCAGTCTGGGATGGAAAGCCTCTGGTTCTTGCAACAGGAGTAATTTGGAAGTAGGGTCACAGATGAGTTAAGACCTCATAGTCTAAGGAAGTGAGTAAATTTTGTCTCATGCTATCTTAGTTTCTGCGCAATATAACTTATAATTGTGTTTCAGATGAATATCAAGGTTGTAACTAGTCTGTACTACCCAGAATTCCCTGGCAATACTTATTTGCCTTGACTGTGGTTGTTACACACTTCTCTGAGGAAACAAGAAGATGAAAAATTGGTGTGGACAAACTGACTTCTCAAGGGTATGTTGGTTGTTTTTATTGTATTTTATTTTCCCTCTCACAACTCACACACCTAGTGTATTTTACTCCATAATAACCATATTTTAAGCTATACATACTGTGTAGTGCCATGCTCAGATATTGAGGGGCCTTGGTTTAATGCTGTTCTTGGGGTTCAGTCTGTGAGATTTCCATAGTGATGAGGAGATCATTACCTATGCAGGATCAGATTTGTTTTTCAGAATAATTACTCTTTGCAGCAGGGATGATGAATTGGCAAAGGGGACAACAGAGTGGCTGGAGGCAGGGGGGCTGATTTTGACTATTGTAACTGCCCAGGTGAGAGGTGATAAAGACCTAAATTAAAGCAATGGGGGACAAAAGGTGTTTGTAAAATAAATATTTTGGAGTTAAAATTGATACTATTTCACAATCAATTATACAAGGAAGAGGAAGATGAAGAGGACGGTTCAGTGGTGCACACCAATAATTCCAGCAACTGGAGAGGCTGAGACAGGAGGATTGTAAGCTCAAAGCCAACCTTAGCAATTTAGTGAGGCCCTAGGTAATTTAGAGAGGTGCTATCTCAAAATAAAAAAAAATTTAAAAAAAATAAAAGTTAAGAGGGCTAGGGATGTGGCTCAGTGAGTAATTTAGTGCCTCTGGGTACAATTCCTAGTACCTAAATAAATAAATGAATAAAGGAATTGAGGTTTATGCAGAAGGAAAATACCTCTGCTATTAAATTATGGAGAGCATCAGGACATCAGGAGTAGGACTGGGTTTGGTATAGACATTGATGAGTTCATTTTAGTCACAGTGAATTTTTGTCCTAGTTTGATGAGATTGACAGAATTCCCAGGACATGGAACTTTTAGTGCTAAAATTTGGAATATCTTGGGCAAACCAGGATGAAAATATCATCTTAAATTTAGGATATGCTGGATTGAGGTATCTGTAGACAGTGTTGGGCAGATAGTTGTGGTGTGTAGGAAGAATATTAGGGTCAGAGGTGTAGTTTGGAAGTTCCTTGTATAAAAATGGTGGAAAAAACCTCAGGATTGGGTATTATAATTAAGAGACAATGCATGGCATGAAATTGTAACTACCTCAAATCCCTTGTGGAGTGAGAAGGAATGTAAATGGATGAATATAATAATTAAGAGGAAAAGGGGAATAAGTAAAAGCAGCAGGCTGGACTTAGAGGTACACATACCTATATAGCTTGAATGTATAACAAATGAGGCTTAGGTCAAAATGGAATTAGGGGGCTGGGTTGGGGATATAGCTCAGGGGTAGAGTGTTCACCTGGTATGTGTGAGGCCTTAGATTTGATCCCTACCACCATAAAGAAAAAAAAAAAGAATTAAAATAAAATGACGACGTCATAGAAGTTAAGAAGAGAGAGAATTGGAAAACTGTGAGGATTGAGGACAGTTGTTTGGCTCTGATGATTAATAAAAATAATTTTCTATGGAGTCCTAAAATTAAATTACAAGGTACAAGGAGTAGTAGCCTCCTTCAAACATTAGCTCTTCTTTGGATCTTCAAGATCCAATTCTTCCTTGAAGATTTTCTGAACTTCAAATGTGTACTATTCTCCCACTTCCACAATTTAAACATATGTAAAAACTCAAACTGTACCCCCACAAATATAGATAATTATTGTTTGTATTTTATATAGACAATAATAATTTTATATAATAAAATATAATAATGCATATTTTATGTAGTATAACACAATTATATGTGTTTATTATTTATATTTTTATGGGGTTTTCTATATTGTATAAAAACTAAAATAAAAATTTTTAAAAAGCCATAACAAAGAATGAAATTATGGCATTTGTAGGTAAATGGATGTAACTGGAGATTATCTTGGTAAGTGGAAAAAGCTAGTCTCAAAGAAACAAAGGTGGAATGTTTTCTCTGACTGGCAGATGCTATTTAATGATGGGGGTTGTTAGGGATGAATAGAAGTTCTTTGGATTAGACCAAGGGGAATGAAGGGAAGGGAGCAGGAGAGGAGAATGGGAAAGACAGTAGAAGGGATGGGAATAGGAATGACAGTAGAATGAATCCGACATAACTTTCCTATGTTCATATATGGATACACGGACCAGGGAAACTCCATATCACGTACAACCACAAGAATGGGAAGTTATATTCCATGTATGTACAATATGTCAAAACACATTCTACTGTCATGTGTATGTATAAAGAACAAAAATTAAAAAAAAAATTCTTGCTGTATTCAGTGGCTATACCACATTATGTAGAAAAAAATTAATTATTTGGTATACTTATTTATTTTTCTGGTTGCTTTGGTGTGCTTTGTTGGTCTCCCCATTATAGTGTAAGCTCCCTCAGGGGAGAGACCATGGCTTATATCCCACAGAGCCCATAAGAAAGGCCTTTAAGAGTATTTGTTATCTGCTAGGGATTCAGAGTCTCTGGCACACTTTTTCTCAAACTTAACTCTGTTGACTTTGGGAGCTGGTAATTCTTTGTTCTGGGAGAACATCCTATGGATTTTTAGAATATTCAGTGGTTCCCTGGCCTCTACCCACTAATTGACAGTGGCATCCCTGCTTCAGTAGAGAAGACAGAGAACCCAGGAGTCCTTGTCCCCAAGATTTTTATGTGTCATCCCTATGGAGCCTGTGCTTTCTGTTAAGATGTTTCTGCTATGGTCACAGGGAATGAGTGGTTATAAATTAAGCTGGACTGGGGCCAGGATAAGGAAAAATTTGTATTTCTGTTACATCACATTTTTCCAGCTTCTGAGGTTCTTTGGTATCACTCTTGAATCTTCCTGTAGTTCTATGGTGAGGGCCAATAACCAGTCTGCACATCTTGTTTTATTTTATTTTTTTGGTACTAGGGATTGAACCCTGGGGTGCTTTACCACTGAGCCACATCTCCAGCCCTTTTTATTTTGAGATAGAGTCTCACTAAATTGCTGAGGCTGGCCTCAAACTTGTGATCCTTCTGTCTCAGCCCCCTGAACCACTGAAATTACAAGCCTGTGCCACTGCACCCAGCAGTCAGTCAGCACACCATTCTTTATTGAATACCTGCTAAATACTCTGAGGATAATCAAAGAGTAATGTGAATAAAAAGAAGTTAGGTTGTGCGAGGCTTTAACTCATTTTTTTCCTGGTTTTCAGCAGAGCATGTTAACTGATGAACTAAATATTTCCCATGCTTTCTTGGATTTTAGCTTATAGCAGCTATCCCCATGAGATACTTATTCTTAGTATCATTCTCTTCTTACAGAGAAATAATGTGAAGCTCAGGAAGATTAAATCATATGCTAAGGGCATGTAGTTACAAGGTGATAAGAGCATGTAGTTACAAGGTGACAAGAGATTCAAACTCAGATCTGTACAACTCCAAAGCCTGTGGCTCTTATTCACTATGTATACTATCCCCTAAAATACAATATTTTATCATTCATTGTATCTAGTTCAGTTTTTCTACATTTTTCCTAAAATGGTAAGCTATTTCATTTTATAGAGTGAAGAACTAAAGACCCCCCAAAATATAAATGAATTTCCCAGAATGATGTGGTTGTGGTGGTGGGAATGTTGAGAAACATCTATCTGTTTCCATAGTTTTGTGATGAGGACAACTTTTATTTGTTGCAACTATCTTTCTGCACACATGGCTATTTGCCTAGCTTTTCTTCCCTTTTCCTAATTGCTCCAGCTATTCTGTCATTTTGGGCATTGGCCATCACATCTGACCTTGCCTTGTATATTGATAGTATATAGATTTTTTAAAATATATTTATTTTTTAGTTGTAGTTGGACACAATCTCTTTATTATTTATTTATTTATTTATTTTTATGTGGTGCTGAGGATTGAACCCAGGGCCTTGCACATGCTAGGCAAGTACTCTACTGCTGAGCCACAATCCCAGCCCCTAGATAGTTTTAATCTAGACTTTAATTCATGGTTGTGCAGGCCCTCTGATTTTGTTGGTAGAATGAAAACTCCGTGGGGTCAAGGTCTTAGCTATATGAGCTTACCATTGTATATTTAGTACTCTGGATGATAACTAGCATACAGGTTATTAATAAATATTGTTGTAATGAATGGATGAGTGAATGCATAAACTCCCTGGTTTTGGTGCTCAGATCAGTCCATTTGACCTACTTCTGCATACAGCGTAATAAAAGTATGGTTACTTAATTCATGTACTGTCCTGTGAGTAGAACTACTTAGCTGCTTTTCCCTGGATGCTACTTATAAATTTTCGTTAGTCCAAGCAGGGCTGATACTTTTAAAAAATTTTTTTTTTTATTGGTTGTTCAAAACATTACAAAGATTGCAGAATCACATCGGTTACACATCCACATTTTTACATAATGCTATATTAGTAACTGTTGTATTCTGCTACCTTTCCTAACCTCTACTATCCCCCCTCCCCTCCCTTCCCATCTTCTCTCTCTACCCCATCTACTGTAATTCATTTCTCTCCTTGTTTTTTTCCCATTCCCCTCACAACCTCTTATATGTAATTTTTTATATCATTGAGGGTCTCCTTCCATTTCCATGCAATTTCCCTTTTCTCTCCCTTTCCCTCCCACCTCATGTCTCTGTTTAATGTTAATTTTTTCCTCCTCAAGCAGGGCTGATACTGAGTCACTCTGTACTTGAAGGTGTTATACAGGCTTATGTAAGTATAACTTAGAACTTGATACAGATGACAAAAATTTTTAGTTGGGCTAACATGAACACTCAATGTAGAAAAAGTCAAATGTATTTTACAATTTGAAGGTTCCTAATACAAAGAAATGATAAATGCTTGAGGAAATAGAAATGCTAATTTCTCTGATTTGATTATTATACTTATATACATGCATTGAATTATGACACTCTGAGTAAGTATAACTATTATATGCCATTAAAATAGTTATTGACAAAAAACAAACCATAGGAGGAAAAACTTCAAAAAAGAAAAGGAGAAAAATTAAAGAAATGAATGAAATAAAAATGCATTTTACTAAAAAGTG